CTTGATCTCTTCTTCCAGTGCAGTCTTGAAGAGCTTGAGCAGCAGGTACTCCTCTCTTTGGTTGGAAGCATAGTTATACAAAGTGAAGATCACTGTGTCCATAAATTTTGTCGATTTGTTTTGAGGCATCTGAAAGATCAGTTTAGCCAGGTAGGAGGGAATCGTCTGAAACAAAGTGGTGGATTGAAAAATATAATTTAGTTTGTTTGAATAAAGAAAAGGTTAGCTTTTTTGCCACTGTATAATTCGAATCTATTTGTGGATTCGAATTATATCCGACAAACTTTCGGACCACTGAGAGCCATCAGACCTGCAGCAGATAAAAGAGATGTTGGTAGGCTTCTAGTTTCTTTCTTTTGCCTTTATTGAGACCTTTAATCCCAAGTCCATCTCCAGCGGTCTGGTCATCTTTTCTCGTTTTATTTTTCTTGTTCTTCATTTTCTTATTATGTGAAACCACATCCTGTACAATAAATACATTAAATTAATACATGTTGAACTTCCAGTACATCAGTCTAATTATCCAAAATATTTCAGGTTCTCAACCTGCAAGGTGATCCTGTTCTTCACCAGCAGTCCAATCTTAATGTCCATCAGATTCAAGTCTTTCTCCATCTGTTGGTTAGAGCGGATTTTTGTGACGACTTCCTCCCTGAGCTGAGTCACTTCTTGCTCCTCCTGCAGGTCCAGGGGGCTCTGCTCCAACAAATGGACAAACTTTCGGACCACCGACAGCGGAGGATTACTGGCTCCAGCTAAAATGTCAAAAACAAGAACCGTAATTTCCTTTTAGTGATTCTACTGTTATGAATTTTTCACTCACAAGTGTAAGAAAACCTTAGAACATACTTGATTATTTAATTTATTTGAGTAATTGATCCCATATGTTAAATCATAAAGCTTCGCCTCCAATTCTACCATGTGAATCTCCCCCTCAAAAAAAAAAAAAAAACATTGAATGAGTTTTGCTTCACAATTACTCAAGAACTTTTATATAGCTCCATATTAAATACTTTAGTATCTACAAGAACATCCAGAACTACATGGGATTTTCTTTATATTCACATTTATTTAGTTAGACCAAGAAAATATGAATTTAACTGAAAACTTTGACAAAAATAAAGTATTTCTAATATCACAAAATAGGTGAGATGTAGTGGTAAACATGGTACTGTAATTAAAAAGCATAAATGTAATATTGACTCACTTAGGGTTCTGTAGTCATCTCTTGCTTTGTTTGCCTTTAGGAAAGCCTGAATTTTTACAATTTCTTTTTCCTATACACAGAGAGAGCAGAGTGATATTAACAAAAGGAAAAATGTAAGAAAATTCAAAAATACATTTGTGAACTATGATTACTCACATGGTCTCTGAAGAACTGCAGCCTTTGATTATATTTGCGTTTTGCTTTCCACATTTTCACAATAGATTGAATCTGAAAACAACAGAATATTTTGTCAGGTTTATTGGAAAATTATTTATTTAAATGCACTTTTACTAAGATATAAATATCAGATGACATACATATTTTGCTGGTATAGTTTTTTTATAGCAATTGTATAATTAATTGCAAATGTATTTTAAAAATACAAAAAATAAGACATTATTAAAGGTAAAAATTACCTTGACCACAGATGCAACACTTTTCTGAAGCAAATTGATCCTGGCTATGTAGATTTTCCTCTGTCTATAACCTCTGAAGCAAGCCTAAAAACAGAAAAAGATGCATTAAAAAAAATTATTTAATAAACGGCGTCACATGATCAGCTGGTAAAGTTGGAAAGGGACAAACCCTCTTCATGTTATAGGTCTTTTTTAAACCTATAGAAGCAAGCACAATTTATCAAATCTGTTTAAATGCAATAATTATAAAATGTATGTGTGATGAAAGTTTCTGAGATGGCAACTCAACTGCATCAGAAAGGGGTTTAAATGCACTCTTTATGGGTCAAATATTTTTCAGGGTGAAATAGTCAACAAGTATACTTGAATCAATTTCAATTTATTCTACACAATATGTATAATTCTGGATGGATATTTGGATGACAACTCTTCCAAACAGAAGTTGGAAGGTTGTTTTAAAGTTGCTTGCACAGATTCTACTTTGAAACAAAGTTAATAAATTATGATCAATCATCAAGGTCAGGGTTTTTCCAGAAACTTAATGTCAATCAGCCTTTATTCATTCAAATCCTGGTTTAGAAAATAACACTAGCTAATAGTAAAATGTGAGAAGATGGAACATCAGCATCAGTTTCCAAAGGAAGGAAGGTTTTACATCACCACAGATCTGAAAGGCTGAAAGTCAAAACAGAATCTTTTAGTCTAAACTGGACAAATTTAAGCGTGATCTGAATTTTCAGCTGCCCACCGAACAACCTAAATGCCCCATATGTTTGGATTTTATAGACTAAAATGCCAGGAGACAGCAATACAATCTACTGCCAAAAAAAGACTGAAGTAGATTTTTTGTTATATGATCATTCCACCCACAAAAAAAGACTGTTGAAGCGTATGTTTTGTATAATAGCAGACGTATTGCCCTCTACACAGTAACATTACATCATTCCCTATAAGCAAACTGAACAGCACATAAGCTGAAATGTGAGCTTCATCATCTGGTCCATGAACACTTTACTAGATTAAAAGATGAAACTAAAAATAGACCATTCTCTACCTTCTGAAATTTAATTACCTGGATTTTAACTACATGAGGCTCTTGTTGGCGTAGATACTCCATTCTCTGCAAATGCTTTTTTCTGACCAGGTGACCTCTGATCCTCGCCTGCAGCTGGGTGACGAAGGATTCATTTGCTAACCATAGCTGTTCCCGGTTATATTCTGCAGTCACAGAGTTGACTACACTCTGACAGAAAGGGGAAAACAAGTTTTGTCAGTGCCACAAGTAGTCAGACCAATGTTCATGTCAATCTGAACCTCACTACTGAATCTTTATGGATACAACAATTAAGCATCCTTACTTGGTTGTGTAAACTGTTATTAGTTGCTAAAATCATAGAGTTGTACCTGAATCTCCTCTTTGCTGAGTTGATCTGCCTTCTGCTCAAATCCTTCCGGCTCCTCCCAGCTGCCCTGCCCAGACTCCAGATTGTAGAAGTAGTCGTATCTGTCCTTGATGCTGTGTTTGACCCAAACACCATCACTGCTGCCTGGAGCAAAGTAGACAATTCCATATTTCACAAATTTCCACTGCTTCTGGATCATTTCACTCAACAATCAGCATCTTTCATGGTGATACAATAATTGTTATAATAATAACAACATGGCCCAACAGAGTCTCCAAAGGAAACTGATGAAGCTACTTAGAGCACAAACTAAAATGTGTAGTAAGTTCTGGAAGGGGCTGTACAGAGGCACAGTTGGCAGCACTGTTGCTTTGCATCAAGAAGGTCCTGGGTTCGATTCCCAGGGTCTTTCTGCATGGAGTTTGAATGTTCTCCCTTTGCATGTGTGGGTTCTCTCCGGGTACTCTGGCTTCCTCTCTCAAAAACATGAATATCAGGTAAATTGGTCTCTAAATTCTCCCTAGGTGTGAGTGGACAGACTGGCAACCTGTCCAGGGTGACCCCGCCTCTTGCCTGGAACATCAGCTGAATAAAATGGCACTTTTTCTTAAACTGCGCCTCTTTTACATGAACATTCTTACTGCAGGGAGTAGGAAACATGGAATAGACTGACTGTTACATTTTGCTTAGCATAGATCACCTCTTTTGTAAGGTTAAATTAAACTTAACGGAATGAGGGTGAAAGTAAAATTTATCTGGTGTGTTTTCTTCTACTACTACATGATAGTGGTTTACCTTTACCTTTACTAGCATTTGCTGTTTGTCTCTGAGCCAGTTCAACTTGGTAAGTGTCTGCGCAGTCAGGATGCACCGCTCTCAGTCCTGCACTGGGGCTCTGCAGAGCTTCCAAGGTCTTCTGGGAGTCTCCCTCCTCTACAGTCTTGTTAATATGAGCAACAGCTCCAGCCACTAGAAACATACAAGATCAAGGTAGATGTCGAGGAAGGATGTCAACTGAATAAGGACCAATTCAGTACAGTACACACTCAGGTCTGATTGACACAGACAGAAAACAACTAACAATTAACGAGTTCAGATGTTCATGAGGGACCCAAAACTATTGATGCATACTTGTGAGGGCTTCTTCTTCATCCTGATTGGCTGTTAGTATAGCTTCTTGGATTTGGTCCAACCAGAGCACTGCAGATTCATCTCCAGAACTCTACAACAAGGAAAAAGCTGCAGGTCACTTCAGTTTTCAAACTGCACCAAGTTCATTAAAAATATGCAATGTTTTAAGTCGAATAAACTTCAAACTCTAAATAAATTTTCTATTTATGTTAGAAATGCGAATCGGACAATTTCCAGCACAACTGGCCTTGACTGGTGATCAGCTGGTTGGAAACTCAAAACTACAAATTTGTTCTCACTCTGTGAACAGACCGACTGAGCACCAACTAGTTGTGTTGACAGTAACACATTGACACAGTCACTGAGGAAAGAAGACTCAAAGTTAGCCTTGTTCTGCATTTGGTTATGCATCTAAAACTGAGTCAGAGGAGATGCCAGAAACCATTTAAAAACTATTTTCTGACATGTCAAGACATCTCTGCTGTGTATTCAGAAAGATAGAGAGCAATAGAGTACAAGCCTTTAAGCAGGCAACTAGAAAGCTATTCAGTTTTATGATTTTTGAGTTCACTATCAGTATGCTAGTAAAATAATATAAATAACTTTTTAAAATAGTTTTAAAAAAGTAATTTGCTAAAATTGGTATTGGCAGGTCAAAACTTTACACAAACCAGAAATTAGAAATCAGTGACAAAATTCTGATTAGTGCATCTGTGCTGTGGCATTTTTATGCACAACACAGATTATATCTGACTGCATAAGTGATATACATCACAGCAACTAAATGTTAATCAACTAAGGAATCTCAAAATTAGGACAATATGACTCCTTGTTGATCCCCAGCACTGCAAACTTTGTTTACGCAGCTTAGAGTCTGTTTCCTTTCCGGCTAATTTTAGAGTCCCCTGTTGGAGTCAAAGGTTACTCCTTGACCACAGATCCCTGAGAAAGGAAGTCACTGCACTAAAACCCCAAGACATCCAATAGATGATGTTTGTTTGACTGAATTTAACAAACAACACTGAGACAAAAGCTGAGAGATCAGCAAGTATCCAAATTTACCATTCAAAATGTTGCTGCTTTTCATTGGAAAATTTTAAATCTTTCAAAAAAAAAAAAACATTCTATATTCCAGAAACAATAACAAACGGCAAAAAATAAAAATGAAAAGTTTAAAAACAACCACAACCTTAGAAAGAAATGCTGAAAGAAGTTGTCATTTGCTTATTGTTCACAGTTGTTGATAGGCTGGCACAAAGCCACTCCTCACCCTGTGAGTCAGAGGGAAGTTCCTGACACAGGCAGAAGGGAATTCAGTTTTCAGGCCACAGCAGGAAAAGCGACCATAACAATCACACACAGATAAGCACGCACAAACGAAGAGCTGAACTGGAGAACAAACAACGACCGATTCGACGTTTTGAGCTGCAGAGATGTAGAAGAGCAAAATTCACAGTGGAGAACTGCTGAAGGGAACCACCATCAAGAGAAGTGAAGAACAGGAGGTTTGAGAAGCGTGGGAAGTCAGTCTGAAAGCGTTATGGCTAACCTTGTGAGGGGATTTCTGTTATGTTTAGTGGTGGCACAGACCAGTCGGGTCGATGGTAAGTAATTATATTTTGCTTTTACTAACAAGATAACCACAAAACGTCTTCACAGAGGGTCAAATTAGAGTTAAATTAAAAAGTATTTGTACTTGTTGCAAATTTATTTTAAAGTAATCCACATTAAATGATCTTTCTTATGGCTGGAAGTGATACAAAATGCTTTGGAGAGCAAGCCAGAATCCTAATTTCATTCAAGTGGAGAATTTCTGTAAGACATTAAAGATTAGGGTGATGTCAAAGAGGCCTTACAATCACAAACACCCACCAGCACAGACTCAAAGCAAAATCATCAAAATAACAGTGAAAACATTCAAAAGGCTAGTTAGCAAATACATCAACAGCATGTGGTTAGTCTAATCATTTTTGTCTTTTTCTTTTTTGATAAAACAAAAAATACATATATCTTTATTTCACATTGTTGACTATTTTCTGAGAGATTTAAACAAAAACAACTTTACAACTAAACCCGTCAGTAATATGAATGATGTGCATAATTTTAAGGCATCTCTGATTTAAAAAGACCATAGATGGCATAAAATTATGAGAAGTAAAAGAACAATTTCAAGTTCAGGATTGTTTTCATAAAATTTAATTAAAACTATTTGTATGTTTTTTCTTTCAATATAGGAAAAGGAAGAATGACCCCTCCACCAAGAAGTATGAGGGGATTCTTTGATAAATCGAACTACACAAACCAGCAGCTTGACCGTTTCCGCTCCAGCATGGACCCTCACCTGGATGTGAAGCCTGAGGGATCAGCAGCAATATACACCACAGGGGCCATCAGCACTTGGATCATACCTTCATCATACATCCTTACGATTCTCGTGGGAATCCCATCTAACACCTACATTTTGGCGTTCCTCAGAGTCAGACTCACTTCAAAGACTTTATCCACAGTGGTTCTGTACCTGAACCTGGCCCTGTCGGACCTGCTGCTCATCCTGTCTCTTGCTCTGAGAGTTCACTACCACCTAAGCGGAAACAACTGGATATTTGGTGAAATCTCCTGTCGGCTTATTACAGCTTTATTTTTTGGAAACGTTTACTGCTCGGCTCAGACTATAGCGTGCATCAGCCTGAAGCGCTATCTGGCTGTGGTCAAGCCATTTCTGTACAGACGGATGGCTAAAACCAGCCTGGCGGTGTGGATGTGTGTGGTTGTGTGGCTTCTGTATGGAGCAGCTATTGTGCCTGAGCTGCTGGTCAAGCAGAGCTACCACATCAGAAGGCTGGAGATCACGACGTGCCATGATGTACTTCCTCTAGAAGAACCCTCCCATTCGCCGCTGGTGCCGTACAAACTGATCCTAGTTTTTCTAGGCTTCTTACTACCGTTCATGGTTTGTATTTACACCCACGTCGCAGTGATTTACCACCTGGAGCAAAGTTCCTGCGACTGGAAACTGTTCACCAGAGTGAGCACTCTGGTTTTTATCATCTTCCTGGTGTGTTTTCTCCCCAGTGGCGTTCTGCATGCTGCTCACTACATCCGCCTGTTTTCCAGTGGGGATGACACACTGTATGGATACTATAGATTAGCCATTTGTCTCTGCTGTTTCCACAGTTGCCTGGATCCCTTCCTGTGCATGCTTCTTTCCTTGACAGGAGACTCAGAGATACAATTTATCTCTTGTAGTAGGATACTGCAGAGGCCAGCAGTTATAGCATAATACTGGATATTTCTATCTCCAACAGGATGTAAAGAAAAGACTGTTTCCTCAAGTACTGTAGAGAAGAGAGATGAGGAAAACCACTCTACAGTTCAAACATATCAATCATTGTGACAAAACAATCTGTAAAGTTTCATTTTGCCAGTAATACAGCCATATTAAATGAATTTCAATACCACAGAAAAGCATATTAAATAAGTAACTCAATGCCATGCAACACTATATAGATTAAATGCAGACAGACGGATGTTTTCCAGCTTTTTGTTGATAATGAATTTCTGATAACAGCTAATAAAAACACATGTTTCACACAGTAAGTTATGGATGAAGTTTTAAAAACCTGCTGATTTTAGCTACACCAAGCTAAATCTTTCAAATGCACTTCAAGATCTCAAAAGCCCTTTTCTAAATAACTAAAATATTTTGATGAAGATTGTCATCATATTACCTGGCAGAGAAGATGTTTAGAATAATGAAGAACATCATGGTAGTGCTTCGATGTGGCTGGGTTTACTCCCGTCAGCTTGGCTGTAGGGAGAAGCAGAGCTGCAAGAGTCTGCTGATGATCTCCTGAGTTGAGGGCCTCATTAATCTCTGCAATAGCTATTATACCTGAAAGTTTGACAGAAAAAACAAAGTCTAATCTCTTAAATATCACTGGATGTTTAAAAACAATGTTAACACATAGTTACACAGGTTAATTATTAAAATTAAAAAACATGCTCTGTTTTGTGTCTAGAAACAAAAATGAGTATTTCTTACGTTCATGCTCCTCTTGGACTTGAATGTTAACCATGTCGATGCATTTCTGAACGTCATTCCAAGTGAGAAACTCTTGACTCTTGGAAAGGGTCTCAACTCGCTCTTCAATTAGCATGTCAGCATACCTATAAAGAAGAGTTATGTAGAATTTAAAATGGATTCCATTGAAGAATCATGAATTGCTTTTGCATCCTTATGACGGTTCCAAAACATTTTTTTATAAAATAATTCCCTCCTCTTCTAAAATTCACTAATTTCCACTACAACCAGGGGTTGGCAAACAACTACTGAACTTCTAAGACCCACAAAGAAACCTTCCTGACAAAATAAATTTTACAATAATTTACTCCCATCCATCATACCTGTTGAGGTTGTCATGCTCTATATTTGTGAAGCCCAGCGGAGAATCTGTTAGCTGTTCAATAACAGCCTGCGGGTCTTTCGTGTCCAGCACCTCGTTTAGAACCGCGACAGCCGACAGCATCTCCACAGCTACGCTGAGCTCCTCATGACTCAGTCCAGACTGTGAGACACAACATGATGAATCACACACAGATTATCCCTGAAAAACACTCTGCCTTTTATTGAAAATGAAAGAAAAGCTACTAAACGCAACGTTGTTTTAGCACTTATATGCGCACAGAGCTGCAGTGTTAAACTCAATCTCACCCGTCCTCCTTGTAGCTGCAAACTGAACAGTTCAGCCTGATACAGGTTAGCAGCACTCTGGTAGATGATTGGAAGCTGCGCCTCCGGGTTCAGCAGCTCCTCCACCGTCTCCGCAGCACTGCCCAGACGAATGGCTGTGTTGATGCGTGCAACTGCCTCAAGTTCTGTTCAGTAAATTGTTGCAAAAAGATACATTTTTAATAAAAGGACTTGGACCTATTCTTATAGTGTGACCATTAAATATTGCATAGAAACACCGGATGGAAAATAAGTATTGATGGGAATTCTACTAAACCTTGTTAGCAATCTGTTTCTGTATTTAGCAAGTATTGGGAAAATCTTTACGTTTTATCACCAGGAAATAAAATGGGTGAGTTGTAAACTGGACTTACTTCGTTTTTCTGCCTCAGCAAAATCATTGCAGGTGCTGATAATTCTGTGAATTTCTTCTTTGTCCAGGACTACCGACCTCCCGCCATTCTGTGGTTCAAACGTATTAGTAAGACAATTCAATCAATTATTCAGCATTTGTTAAATCAGCAAGAGAAGGTTTGTCTCCCTTTTGCATCTAGCGTTTTAATCTTCATGTCACCTGAAAAACTGTTAATCTCACAGACCCACTAGAGTTTAACAAACTTTAGAAATGTACACTATGTGAAAACAGAATATTTTTTGTCTTGATGAAAATATCAAGCTGTGTAGAGACTTGGGGATGATATGACGCCTCTCTTTGCCTCAACTCTCTAAAACAAAGCTCCCAATCATCCTTCCCACTGTATGCAATGGCAGAATAAACATGGGTCATCATCCAGCCTAGCAGGCTGTAGATAGAAGCGATATGTTTCTGTTGATGGTTGTATTTGTACCCCAGTGACACAGAAAGTCATTGATTACTAATTAAAGGTTTCTAATAACTTGGGTTTAAAAAAAGGAAGGTATAATCTAAAAATCTGCAGTAATTGTGTTTAATTTAAAGTGTTAGGGGTACCAGTGACCCTTTCCTAGTATCCACACCAAAAAATTGCAGCCAATCATTGAAGATGGGCACCAGACACCACAAAAAAGCAGGTAAAGAAATGAATTGACATGTTAAGTAATTTTCACTGTTTTCACTGTGATATTATGCTTCTGTAATAAAAAAATGTTTTATGCTATGAATTTTTCACACTTTCACCCTAGAGCTAATTATGTTTTTGGCATCTCTGCAAATAAGTGACATTTACTCAGTTAAATTTATAAAATTGTGTTGTTTTCCCCCACAGATTTTAACTTAATTAATCAAATGATTCTATTCAGGGTCATAGTGGATAACTTCTATCAATCAGCTATATCAAAATCACTGATTACCATTTTATTGCAGTTGCTCTATAAATTGCGATAAAGAACTGAAGCCTTAAAATGTAAAAATTTCAGCAAATGACTAAAAATAATTATACCTTTGACTTTTGTTGGACATAAGCCGTAAAATGTTCTAGATACCAGCCGCCGTTTGCATCCTGGACCCCCAGCAGGGACAGGGCTTCAAGTCTGAGAGCAGCCAATAGAGCAGCTTCATCCTGGAGCAACAAGGCTTCATTCACTTTCTGCACTGCTGCCTGGGCTGGAGACAAAATTCAGTAATGTACAACATACTTTTCATTCAACAATTACATAAAAAAAAAAGAAATCCAATTCATTTTTCTTGTGTTTCACTTAAAAGTAGATACATTTTATGCATGGGAATAATGTCTTCACGCAAAGATAAATCCTTTGGGAAACAGATAAGCATGTCGTGTGTGCACATCCTTACTGTTGACGTGATCAATAGAAGTCTGGATTTCCTGCTGGGTCAGCAGCTCCTCATAAACATCTCTTTCTTCTGTAGCAACTGAAGATCGCTAACGCAGAAAATAAAAATATATACTGATTCACACTCACTATACATTTGTTCCATAAACAGTAGTTCGTTTGAAGTTGCCGTGGCTTTCATATTTCACATATCACATCTGAAGTCATGTGAAGAAAATGCAAAGTTCCTGTTTGTACAATATTTGTAAAGAGTGGGAGGAGAGACGGGAGGCACAGTGGGGATCTAAAGTCTGGTAAATACAGCTGACACTGCAGAGACAAGAATGTGCAAGCAGAGGATGTGTAGCGAAAAACTACTTCAGTAAACTACGTGATCGCTCATATAATTAATAATATATATATATACGTTAAAAAAACACTTAGTTGGCCTAAAACAGTGAATTTTATCTTTTTATTTTTGTATTTTGTGACTTGGCTTTAGAGTAAAATATCTAGAGGTTGTCCATAAACATATGTTCGTATTATCAGAGAAGTGATGTTATTAACACTCTGTCCATGGAAAGTAGTCATAGTGTCAGGCTGCTATTTTGTGTGTTTTCAGATGGATTCCTTTTACAATCTAACTAATTGGTTCCATAAACCATAAATTGACATGTCTTGAGAAAAATGTTTATGATATTAACCTTTTTAGAACTAGTCAGCAAATATTCAAAGGGCTATGTTGGAGAGAAATTGAGCTGATTCTTAGATTACTGCCAGTCATAGTCATGTAGCATAAAAACTGCAGGACAAAAACCGTTTTTACTGGTAAGCTAAAATAATTCAGATTCATATACTTGAGAGTTTAATTAAATTTTGGCTCATTCGTGATAGCAACGCTATTTCTAAACAAGAAGTTAAAGATCTAAACTTCTTTCACAGCAAGACCTAAAATACTATGGAACAAACAATAAAATGAGCTAAAAGGTTCGTTTTCTCACCCTTCCTGATGACTGATCCTGCTTCCGAGCCTTTTCCTGCTTCAGTGTATCCTGGTAGTCTTGAGCCAGGACTTCCTGCGTATTCCTCAGCATTGCGTTGGGATTTTTTAACGCTTCCATTGTCACCGATGCCTGGCCTCTCTCGACGGCCTCATTGATGGCAATTACAGCAGCATGTACTACAGCAGAAGTGTATTTACAATAATTAGCCTTAGTTGTACAGATAATTTATTATGTCATTAATTTATTAAAAAGCAACAATGACTCACAAGCAGCTTCATCCACAGAAAGCTCATTGGCCAGAATACCTCCAATTTTACTGAAAGCTGGCATCTGAATGCCATACTTCTCCAGTTCACTTCTCATGTTACTGATCTCCTCCTCTATAAGACAGAAAGTCACAATATGAATATTAAATGCTGCAATATATTATATGAAGGGTTACTTATTTTACTTTTCCAGTTTTCCTGAGGGACCATAGATTTAAGAACATGTTTCTCAAAACAAGTTTTGAGAAAACATTTTACACTTCCCTAAAATGGGACAGTAGGTATCATTTTCAAAATTGCTTCATTAAACTACCACATACTTTCACCAGCCACTTTATTAGGTTAATTAATTGTACCAGGTTGGGCACCCCATTTGCTTTTAGAACTGTTTAAAGGGTTTATTTCTAATTTTCAGAATAGGACACAGAGAGGAAAACCAAAGTCATTTGTCATTGAGAAAATTTTCTAATTACAGCCAATGGTAACAAGCTGTTTAAATAAGTGTACTTTCACTCTCTAGTATGCTTGAAAGCAACCATGATTTATGTTTTTAAAATAAATTTCAAACAAAGAAAACTAGATCAAAAAGACAACTGGCCTCTTGCATGGTAATACTTTATGAAGGTTTCAGTCACCCCCCCAGTCAGGCAGGTGACTGGGGGGGGGTTCAAATTTATCGAATTGTTTATTGCAATAAAAATCATAAGAATTTTAATTTATCGTTTTTACAATAAATTCCAAGTGATGTTTAAAAATTCCTAAAACTCTCTCTTAGTATAGTTTCAGTATTTTTCCAGTTTATTCAATGTAGGCATCGTTATGTATCAATAGATGTGGAAATTTGAGCTGTTTAATGGAACAAATAAGACTTTTTTATCCAACTGTTGTCCTGAAGAAACTTATTAAAATGGATGTGTTTTTCAAACCAGTATTTGAGTTTGTGGGAATATAATTGTTATGTTACCTAAAAGGTAGTAATAAATATTTCACTTTTGTAATTAAGGACATTATGTTTTACAAAATGATACTTTGTAAATTAGCAATACAAAATGTTATTTTAAAACTTTCAGGCCATTTCGTCCATCCTTAACTTCTGTTGTTTTCGTGTTTTTATATATATTATATATATATATATTATGTGCCCTTTATGTTTCGACAGATCTCACCTGTAAAGGCGACTTTCCCCAGCAGGTCCTGGATCTGTGGTGCAATCCCCAGTTTGTACAAGTACAAGCTGAGACAAATCATGACAGACATAAAACATTTGGGTTAAAAGCAATCAGAAGCCTCAACAATAAGGAGTAGTGACACAAAGTTAAACAACCCATTTTTATTTTTCTCTGATACGTGTTGCTGTAGAGGTCCACCTGCCTCACACCACTGGAGGGTAGCATTGGATTGTGTTACACAGTGCACTACCTCAGGACAGGCAGCAGACTCTATACAAAGCTGTGAAATCAACAGGCAGGTGACTGGAAACTGCATTAAACTTTTATCTTCTCTCAGGTATCTGATAAGTGGTGATGAATTATAGATATTTGTGGAGGTTTGGCATCAGGACAGCTCTAAACAGAGGAGTTGTAGGTCCGCAGCTTGTAGCTATTTTGCTCTTTGATCACTGTGTGTGTGACTGAGTAAACATATGCTGCACTCCGTCACTGGAACATGGGGGGAGTTCAAACACACATTTAAAATTTGCTTATACAAAGGCTAGTGTTTTGACACAGGCAGCTGATTTAGGTTCAGATATCAGTACTACCATCTGACTCACGGTAATGAAGGCACCTCTAACACTTACCTGACAGGGCTTGGAGTGACTGCCTCTCCCCAGACAAACAACTATTTATTATTTCAGGGTTTGTTTGTTTTTTTTTCCCTCCATTTTCCATTAGTGCCCAGAGTAGAGGTTCAAAATGCACAATGTTTCCCAAGTGAATTTTAGTTTCACTTCAGTTTTTAACAACAGTCCACATGTGAAACGCCTACTGCTTTTACTTTAACTCTCTGCGTTGCAGGATTTTAGTTGGACATGCAGGAAGGAAGTGCACGTGTGTGAATATGGAGGGAAGGAAACCAATTCTCCCAGGACCTGACTGAAACACTGCAACACAGAAAACAATCCAGGCAGCTCACAAACCCACTCCCTAAAACGCAAATTGGATGAGCAAATGGATAAAGACTAAAATAAATCCTGTAATTAATTTGGTTTTCACAGATCAAAAGTGGCTCACATAAGGATAAATTTGCTTACAACAGTAAGAGTTATTTTTAAACCTGAAAACATTCCTAAACACCAAAACGGAAACCAAGTAATGAAATTATAAGAACAAGAACTGTTCTGCAGCTTAAG